GCTCTGGATTCAGCCTGTCAGAATGTTCCTCTCCTTTACAAAATACATAATCTCATTTAAAATCAGCTAGTTTTCTGAAAGCTACTCAATGTGAGGGGAAAAAGGCTGACACAGTTCCCTCTTGCCTGCTGATGTAGTAAACTTACTGATTGCTTATCTGCTGTAACACCAACCACTTTTTAAAAAATTTTTGAAATCATATTTATGAAGACTTTAATGGTTCATACTGTCTTCTCAAATATGGGCATTTATATGTATTGCTTCTTAGGAAAGATCAGTTTCTGAAAGGGTATTTTTTTTTAAACTCTTTTTATTATTATCTTTCAAAAACTTCAAGGGGAAAACTCTCTCCCTCCCCAGCACCCCAAACATTTCCCCTTGTATTGCTTCACCTGTTGGGATACTAGTGAATTTTTGGGTTTGAAAATAGCCTGGACAGGATTCCCCACCTATCACAAAGCAACATGCTCTCCTCACACAGCTCTAAAATGTCTGGCTGATTAGTGGACCTCAACTGTTGAGGATTCAGTAGATAATTTATCCTTGAGTCAACATCCCAACAAGATTTTAGGAAGAAGAGACTGTTATAAGTGAGATACAAAAGGAGATCTATCTATAAAGGAGATCTTCTGGGAACTATCACAACACTGTTTTTCAACAAAATGTTTCACTTTCTGAGACTGAAAAGCTTTGTTTGAAAAGTGAACTGTGGGTTTTTTGTTTTTGTTTTTGTTTTTTTTTTTTGTTTTTGTTTTTTTTTTTTTTTAAAAAAGGGATGGCCGAGTTTCTGAAATGCTCCAGGTTTATCTGAAACCATATATTTCTAAAGAAATTTGGAAAAACTGTTTTCTTGTCTTGGGGAATTGATTTCTTCTCCCTGTCCTGACATGTGAAAGCTACTGGAGATTACCATGACATAATCTCCGTGTTTGTCCTGCAGAAGGAAAAGTGCTCATCCTGGAGTTTTTGGCTGAAGTCCAGCACAGAAAATTGAAGTTCATCTTCCCAAATCCAATCCTCTCTGTAACTCTGCTTGGATAAAGTCATCTTCCACTCCCTGTACAAACTGTTTTGCTGCTATTTTAATAGCTTCAGAGCTCTACCACTAGCATCCATCTTAAATGATGAGCAAAGTGACCCTTTCAGTCTCATGCCTAATTCACACTGACTGCTCTGCCATTAGTTAGCTAATGATTTGTGAAATATTTTGTGATACACCTTGCAGTCTTCAGCTGAACAGTCCTCTGCAAGTGTCTAATGTTAGTGGTAGTGACAAAACATGGCAAGTCACCATTGCATTTCCCCATGCATTTCTTCCATTTAACCACATTAAGTGGTTTAAAAACTTCAGCTGCATGTTGAAACTTGTGGGTTTTGGCAGTGTTATTGCAAGCATACAGGCAGAGCTTCCTCTTGCAGACTTTCTTCCTGCCAGCAGTTCCTATTCACACCAGCAATCTCATCAGCTGCACACAGGCTAAATTTTGCAGCATGCCATGGTGTACCCTCAAATCTTAATTATTATTATTATTTTTTTTAATTCCCCTTCCTCCCACCCATCCACTCGGAGCACACCTGAGTTTCTGCCCAGGATTACGGGGAAACCAGGGCATGGAAGATGCTTGTGTGCATGTCGCCGTTGTGCCAGTGTAGTCCTGGGACCTGACCAGGGCTCTCCCCTGTGCCTGAGAACGAGTAAATCCTCCCACATGTGTTAGTGTAACTGCAACTAGGGACATAATTGGGATTATTTGTGTTACACCAACTGAGAGGACGGGAGCTCTGCTGCATGTGGGATCATATACACAAAGCAAACACAAAGCTCCCACTGATTTTGGAAAAGCATGGATATGAGGTGATATCCTTACTACTGAGAGCTGGAATGAGAGAGAGAAACCATTAGAAATCCACAAGCAGTGGGTACCCACCTTGCAGCTTCAGAGTATCTCTCTAAGCAGCGAAACACAGCAGCTAGGCGCAGGTGATTCCGGAAATAAACTGGGTTCAGAGAAATGCTCCTGCAAAAGGTAAGAGAGATGGACAAGTTTAGATTTCTAATTCTCAAATCATTAAAAGCTACTTATAATCAAACTGTGACTAAGACACATACTGTATATGCTTATTCTATCCAACTCAACGCTGTATGTCTCAAATGTAATATGAACTATCACTTTCTCTCTCTTGACAGCTGTGATATATGAACAAGCATTATTAAATTTTTTATTGAGGTTATATCATAAATGCAGTTTCATTAGGGTTTTGTGCATTGTTCTAGAAAAAAGCGCCTATGGTAATATTCTATACTGCCTTTTGTTTGTAGATAACATAAGCAAAAGTGCTACAGTACAACTTGTTAATCCCTAGCTCCACAAATGTGAGTGATCGTTGTCTGACCCATCTCCCTGGAAAAGCTCTGCATCTAAAATGTATTTTAATGTTAACGTGAAAGGGTTTAAAATACCCTCTGTACAAGCGATAGGTTCTCTGTGGGTGGACCTTGGCATGTTTCTTAGACCCTCAACAGATGCAATTCCAGCTGTAGTGACTTACATGCTTTAAGTCAATATCAGGAGAAGATGGAAGGGTAAAAATAGCATAAGCCAAGTAGTTAGATTGGCAGGCAGTATATCCTTCTGATGCAAGCAGGGGAGGGCAAGAGTGACAGCTCCTTCTACATCTAATTAGTTCCACTTGTGAGATCTCCAACAAGTGACTGGCTTCTCTGGCCAGCACTTCTGCCAGTGCTTGGAGAAAACATCCATATAGTGTGTTCTAGGATGCAGAGTTTAATATTGATCATTACATACGTGTTTTATGAAGTATTTAATGGTAGTTCACGACATCAACAAGGAGATTAACTCAACGTTCTGTTACAAAGAAAACTTGCAAACTGGCTTTTGTTTCCTCATTAAAAGTTTTGAATATCATGTTAGCATTAAAAACTACTGCTCTTGTGACTTCAGTCTGCTATTAACCACAGAACTAATCCTCTTCATAACCAAGTAATGTATTAAAGTTTATTCTTTGTCTTCAAACTATGGCATAAATATATATGTAAACACATTCAGCTATTAATTCACACTTATGGAAACACCCAGAGTGCATTTTAGAAAACCAATAACTGTCTTTTCTGTATGTATTCAGCACTGTATGTCTGGGGCCTTCAGAAGGGGCTTTCAAAATAAGTTAAAACCTAAAAATATCTCCAAGATGCTGTGGACTTGTGAATCAAATTCATTCTGCAGGCACTTTCTCCAAGGCATGTAGAAGAAGGCCTCTCTCTCTGACTGAGTACATTAGATATATAAGGAGTGGATCAGTAGATCAGAAGAGCTAATGTTGAGGCCTCTGCATCTATATTGTAGAAAGCTGGGGCTTTTATTTCACAATAGACTTAGTCTCTTCCCTTAAACAAAATGTCCCCATGCATGTTGCTTAAAGCTGTCTTAAAGGTCAGCCGTTGGTTTGTGTGGTACTTGTATTTTGTGCACAGCTCATGCAGAACGTGCAGGTAGCTTTCTCTGAAATTAATCTAGTTTGTGAGTGCCAGAATTGGTCTGTGAATAATCCACTGTGCAGAAAATGGATAAAATTGTGTCAAGTGCATCACAATCCTGCTATTGTGCCAAACCAAACCACTAAGGTAGATGTAACCAGTGGAACAGTAAAGCTTTACTCTGTATGAGCAGAGCTGCTCTGTGCTCTGGAGATTCAGCTCTGCTGAAGACCATCCTAAGGTCGTATAGGAACTAGGAAGCATCTCAGAGCTATGCTTTCCCAATCCAACATTTGAAAAAAAAATGCTTATAAAACTATATTGAGAGAAAGCATTGCCCTGCAGGAACTGCCTCTCTGGGAAGAAGGTGTAAGGGTAAAACCAGTGACAAATGATACCATGTAATTTAAAGCATTACTGGAGGAAGTGTAGCCCTTAGTGACTGGGGGCACATTTAAATACTGAACTAAAATACAGTGGATGGAACAGCATGGGATGTTAAAGATCAGTTGCTCTTAATGAGGGGAATGAATCTTTCTTATTAGTAGTGAAAAGATAATGCCAATGGCAAACACTGCAGTTCTTGGCCAAACACCCTCCAGATCTGAAGTTTAGACAATACTGATGGTCACCAAAACTTAATTTAACCAAAACAAAATCATCAATAGATCAAATACTGTCAGCATTTAATGATTTGACCAAAACAGTAATACCTTATGTAGATGACAACTGGTAGTTCTGCAAGCTGTTTTAAAGGAGATTATTGCTGCTGTGAACTGTAGTCAACAGCTGATAATAGTAATATTGATTTTTTTTTTTACTGTTTTTTTTTTTCTTTCTCCCTCAACAACTTATTGGTTCTACCACAGCCAAGCAATAGCACTATGAAGGGAAAAAATTAAAAAATCAATAATTCCTTGGTAGTTAGCGACAGATTTTCTGTAAGTCTCTGAGCAGGATGTGCTGGGATAGGCTTATAATAAATATAGAACTGTAGCAGATTTTCAAAGAATTAGATATCAGCTCTCCATTTTCCATCTTGATTTTTTTGCTAGTCTCAAAAAGATCAACTGCTTTTCTCGATCTATAAATTCTATACTGAAAAATATTATAGTACACCCTAATAGATTGAGCAAGCACCAGAAAGCTACCTGTGACTCCTGGCAGATTGGTTTGATGTTGCTTGGCTCCAGAGAGCCTATACCCTAGAAATAATTTCTGCTGTATTACTACTTTATCCAAAAGTAGCCTTTGCTGTACTGATGCAGCCCTGGTTTAGTAGCCTTTATGCAGAGCAGTGCTAATCTAATGCCAGGTGTGCACTAAAACTGTGCAGAGCTGCCCCTTTGGTTGTTAAATCTGACTCTGGTGTGTTTCAGGTGATTCTTGGTGAAAAGGAGAAAAAACCCCAACAAACCTGAATGAAAATAGGAAGCAAAGGTATTGTACAAACAAAGGTTAAGAGGAAAACCCTAATTCCAGGAAGTTCTCTGTCAAATAGGAGCAGATGGGGGACCCATCTGGCCAGGCAGAAATGTGCCAGGCTGTGCATACTGAGAACAAGTCCATGCTCCAAGATCCACCTCCAGCCATGAGCAGGCTTTGATACTAGGCTGGTTAATCCAGTAATTAATTAGTAGGGATGTGTTTCAAGAGAGAGGCTTGAAAGAAGAATTAGGAAGGGACGAAGGTGGTGGACACACCAGCTGCAACGCAGTCAGGACAATCTCTGTATGTGGTGATTTGTGTCATGAGCAGAAGCATCGGTCCTTTGGTCTTTTTTACTCAGATGCCTCGTTTACTCATGGGAGCTTCAGGAAGAAAAAATAGTTCCAACAGGAAATGTCAGAAAATGGATAGCTCTTAGTTTGCACAGAGAAAACTTCTAATCCTCAAAACTGCAAATAAAGTCACTACGTCTGGAGATTAAAACTTGTGTTCTTGCCAGGTTTTTCCCCTCATCTGTCAAATGACTAGGCTAAAGTAAACCTGAAATAGATTTTCATTTATTTTTCATCTTCACTGTAATCCAAAGACTGCCCCGTTAAAAGCCTTTCGTAAATCATTTGGTCAGTTTTTCTCAACAAAACAGTCCTTAAGTAACGCTGTATATCAGCCTCTTTTTTGACGTTTTCATTTTTTCATCTTGACATCTTCTCTTAAAAATAATACAGTGTTTGTCCTATTATCTTTTTTCAAACTCTGAGGAGGAGGGAAGAAGGCATCAACTCTCTCCCCCATCACAGCAATTGGAGTATGTGAATCAGAGATGCACGTTAGTCCGTGGTTTTCTCTCCAAGTTTTTCTTTCAATCTTACTGACCAGTGTTAAGGAAACAGGTGTGGCAAGAAAATCAGACTGCTACATCAAAACTGTCTGCTAGAAATCACATTGCCTTTTCTCTGAGGTGCACATTCTCTATCAAATTCCATCCCAAATGCAACAGGGATTTAACTCTAATCTGACTGACATGAAAAAGTGCCTCTGCTACTATCCACCGTATCATTCGTGTTTGGCCTTTATAGGCCAAGAAAAAGTCAATGAGATGATTCTATAGATGAAACAAGTGAAAAAATACACTTCACCACTAAAGCAGATAAACTCATTTTTCTTGCTTGTGCTGTGAGTAAAAGCCAGCTTGCTCGTAGAGGTGCATGCAGTCATTTCTTTCATTAGAGTGGCAGACGCTTTTTCTTAGTTGATGGTGCCTTCCTAAGATACAGTGTGGTCTTCTGTACAAATGCATCTTAATAGTCAATTAGAATTGGCTATTAGAGAGAAATTAGGTGATTTATCAGAAGTAAAAACTCAGTGCTAAAGCAATACATGCCTCTGTGCAGAGAGATGTAAAGCTAGCGTGGCAGTGGGCTGTGCTGGCGTGTCCACGTGTTGCTGGTGCAGTGACTGTGCAAGTGTCACCGCTGAGGCGTTCTTCACCACCACATGACATACAATGTCAGTGCAAGCCGTGTGTCAACTCAGCAGAGCCATGTATTCAGCTGCTGTAGACTAATACAATGCTTTTATCTTCAGTGAATACTGTCAATCAGTACAGCTGCTTATCCAGCCCCAATATGCTACAGATGAACCTGACAAATCCTGTAAAATTACATTGAACTTCAACTCTCTTTTTTTTTCCTTGTTTCATCTGGATGGCAGGTAGCTTATTCTCTGCTGTGTAGCACTAGTCTTATATCTGTTTGAGTCTGCCATGCTCTGTTCTGTGATCCCCAGGGCTCGTTCAAGAGTTCAACTCTACTAGAAGCAGTCAAATTCCTGAACCCTGTGGTAGCCAGGAATGAACCTCATAATATTATCCTGTAATTTGCATGCACAGCTATGTTATGATTTTATTTAAATTTTATTTGGGGACCTTATGGTGGTATGATTGCTTGCAGCTAACTTTGTATTCTGAACCACTTCTTCTCCTGGTGCTGTTGTAGGGAACAAAGAGGGATGTGTCTTGGATATGTGAAAGCTTGTGGGCTTCTTTGCTCTATGTGAGAGTTTACCAAAGCTGAC